AGGACACTTTGTAAAGCCACGACACACATACTGGATCGTGAAACATGTACCTTGTCACATGCCCACACACAAACCCACACGCAGAATTTTACGCCTCCCTGTGGGCTCAAAAGAACGCCCACTCACTTGCCTGTCTGCCCATTTGATTGTCAGTACATGGCGGTGCCAGATCTTGATGAATCAGATTCCTGGACGACTGTGAACAAGCATCGTGTTCGTGAATGCAGAGAAGGCACTGAGCGTCTCATGTCTGTAGGAGGGACTGACTACTGGTATAGGTCATCAGCACAGCGAGGGATTGAACACAAACACCCACATACTGAGTATACTTCACAACTGTTTACCTCTAAGATCATCGCTAAGCTATAAGACCTCTAGGTTGTCCCTTTATCAAGATTTGTAGCGTCCACTTATGCTGTTTCTTTAAGGTTAGCTCCTGATCCAAAAGTTCTCTGTTCAGTTCTTCATCCATCAGTCCAACAATACTCCTCAAGAATAAAAAAGTCTTCCTTTCTCCGAACCCAATCTATTAAGCCTTGCTAACTGCGAAGGCGAAGGCGGCACATCGTGGCGGTACGGACCCTTGGGAGAGGCTGGGTCCTTCAGGTGCGCTGTGGGGTACCCTTCATAGCTGCTGTTACCGGTGCTCTCCTGCATTAACTTCCCTTTGGCTTCCTGTTCTCGGCGTCTCTGCTCCTGCCTCAGGAGCTCCTGGGCCTCCAGAAGGACTCGAGCGTTGACCCCACCGCCGCCCGGATAGCCATTCCTGGAGCCCTGGTAGCTGGAGTACCGGGGGTTGTCCTTTGCTGTCTGGAAGCCCTCGCCAGGTGGGTATGCCTTATCCCATGAGTCCTGGGAGATGGAGCTGGGGTTCTTCCTGGGTTGCCTGGTGTGGAGAGAGGAAACAGGAGAGGAAAATGTGAGATGCGGTTTGACTTTTGGTTTCATGATTCCTTAGACATGAACCTAAACACATTAACACATTATTTTACTACACAAATATGTCCACAGACATCAATTATCTTTATATTTGAGTGAGTTGGGTGACGGAAACTAAGTGCAATGTTGCTATGAAGGTCAGTGAGTTAGCTGACTAATACTGGACTTCACCTATATTTGTTTACAATACATTCTCAAATCTGCAACTTGCAAAGCCATGCTTGCTTCTAGCAATTCCTGTTTGCATAATAACTTTTAATCTACATACATCAACTGGAATATGATTGCTACTGAAGAAAAAGTCTGCATTTTTACAATTATGAGACTTTTTACATAATTTGTGACATTGAGAAATTGGGATTTCTGATAAATCAGGTGATGTGGGTTGAAACAATCAAATACGTAACAAAGGCTCTCTAATTCTTTCTTTCTCAGACCCAAACACTATTTCTCCATAACACATAATGTGACCTGGTCTGGGGTGAAAAATATCACCAGCAACAAAAATGTTTGTTCAAAACCCATTACCTCTTTGGAGAGGGACTAGTATTTGGATGTTTGCTGAAAATGTATTATACTGTCAGTTGCATGGCAGCCAAGACATCACATTCAATGAAAATGTGGTGCCATTACAGCCTAACAGAGTGCCTCTGGGCAGGTACCAGCCCACGGTAACAACATACAGGGATACCTAACCATGTCAAAGCCCCCTTCCAGCCCATTAGGCCCATTTCAAGAGAGACAGAAACAACCATTGGATCTGACAGACAGTAGACCTTTCCCAGTTGGAAAATCGAGGCAACCATCTTGTCCGCAATGGATATGCCCAGGCTGATATTTGACACCTGACACAAGCCTCTTAAAGGCACGGTTAGTTGTCATGTTTCTGGGGGGCGGCTGCGCCATTTACAAGAAAGATGGGGGGTCAGATGTGTGACATCACCTCTCATTTCTGCTTGGCTAGCTTCTTTGTGGCAGCCCTGCCTTTGTGTGTATGTGAGCCCATACGATATGCATGAATGCCCCAAGCCCGACAGCTCCACCCATTTATCTCGAGGGCAAGGCAAAACCAGAGCAGAGAGAGAGAAGACGACACACAAAAACATCAATGGGCTTTTGACTCCGAGCCACGCATAATTAGCAGGTTTATCAGCCAGCTGTGAAGAAATCGTATTATTCCTGTGTTTGGATTTGAGCAGGCAGGAGAAAAAAATCCTTAATGAGAATAAAAAAGACCTTTGTTTTTATTCAACAGAGATTGAATGCAATTGGGAATGGATACGCTTCTCGATCGGTGAGATAGGAGAATATAGCCCAGGTTTATTCTTGCACACGGTTGAGTGATTCCAATTTTCAGAGACAGGCGTCCCCGGCATCTGATTTCATTTCATATTGTTGACAAAAAGGCCAAAGCCGGTCTGCCTCCCTGCTGAGAAATGCAAACCAGATCGCTCTCTCTGTCTGATGCTGTGCCAAGGGGGAGCATGTACATGTGTGGTAAATACAGAAAGATGTATACTGTTCTGTATTCTCTGCGTGCACACTGTGAAGCATGACAGATGATAAAAAAGAAAGGATGAAAGGTGACAGAGTGAGATTGAGCGAAAAAAGCATTCGCAATTGTCAGAAAAAAATACATGTGCATGTGTGCTAACATTGGTAATGGACCCTTTTGAAGAATTGAATCTTGAAATTCAGTTCAGACACAAACTGGTCTGGAGAGAAATTTATTCAGGAGTAATTATTATTTTCCAAGCACAGTCTGTAATTACTCACTCAGAACTGTAAAACACCTGCCAAGGGTCAAACCAAGCAGACCCTCCTGGCCACATCATCGACTTTGCACTTACCATACATATACAGACATTAAATAACATTATTTCTATTACTTCACCATCATACTCAATCATGTTATCGACATAAATCCTTTCCTTGATAAAAATTGCAGGCAGCTTCGCTGAAAGATAATGACTAGCTCTCCGCTCCAGCGGTACAGAGGCAACATCCTGTGGCCACGTCCCTTCACTTTTCCACTAATTTCCATTAAGAAACGCGTTCTGTTTGGATAAACCCTGCTGTAGTATCTTAAGAACACTAACTATTGTTTGACTTAGAGCATACCATCGTGGTGAAGTCAGAGGCTGAGACCGAGTGAATATGGCCTTAAAGCGATGCGCCTTGATGGGATTCATATGAGCCTGCTGGTTGTTCATGGGAGGGCTGAAATTCTTCATGAAAGTATGACTGGGATTGTGAGTGGAGACGTGATAATGCGTTAGTAGGCATTCTTAAAAAAACAGCTTTCATTTTAGATAAAGGTCAGTTCCCCTCTGGGCGAGACCCTTTCCTAAAACAAAGGAGCTGTGAGTGAAATAAACCCTGCCATTTAAAAAACAGTGACGGCCGGACGAACGGGCCTTATATTCATCACCGACGAGCACCATGATCTCAGAGCCAAAAGTGATGCCATTATGGAGACCAAAGGCCTGGATACAACAGCTGCAGCGACATTTGGTCTCACTACTGTGTGTCTTGCCATGCATGCATGCATGCCATGTGTGTCAACAACCACATTGCTCTCATCTGCCAGCTCTGCAACCTCTCACAAAGTCTCCC